CAGGCCACGCTGCATACGGGGATCCAGCTCCAGGGTTGGGATTCAGTAACCTCAGGGACAGGTATCTCCCAGGAGACTGAGAGACTACCATGGTTCTTATCTTTCTATTTCCACACTGCATGTTCCCAGGCAAGATGAGTCTCAGGTTGCACAAAGAATCACTTAGAGATCTTGACAAAAGTGCATCGCCCAAGCTGGGCCCTCAGACAATGGAACATTGTGGGTGGGGTCCTTCCTTCCCCCGTGTTGCAGCTCCCCGATGTTTCCACGTGCAGCTAAGATCCCTGCCTTGGGACCACCTTGCACAGGACAAAACCCTGAGCGCCCAAACCCGAGAAGACAGCAGGGACCACCGACGGAGCCTGGTCTCATCCGCTTGCTTGTTGAGTCAGCTCTGTTGTTGCTCCACCTGCCCCAATCACAGAACTCAACCTTTTCAGACAAACTTTCAAAGACCTGCCTGGCCTGACACCTCACAGTGGGCCTCCAGCTCCTACGTGGGGGAATCAGGCAGCCACATTCAGCAGCACCAGGACTCAGGAGGATGACACTTCGAACTAATTACTGCGGCCCAGAATTCAGCCCGGCCTGCCTGGACCCGAGCATGATGCAATTTCAGAAAGCTCCGGCTAGGATGTTCCAAGCGTGACTGCAGAGAGTAGGTCAGTCCCATTTGGCCCCGGCCCCACTTAACAGCTGGGAGACCAGGATTCTTTGCCACATGGGGCAGAGTTCAGCCAATGGGTGCCTGCGCGAGAACCCACGATGCACTCCCAAGAGTCAGAAATATGTAAACACCCAAGGACGGGAATCTTGGCGCCACATCCGGGACTACCACACAGAAAACCAGTCCAGAGCCTAACGCTGACACTGGGTTTAGAGGATGTGCAGGGAGTAACAAAACGGGCTGGGCAAAGTGGAAAAGAAAAGAAAACTCATCCATCAAGTGCCTTCTAGAAGTTTTAAACTAGAGAAAACATCCGGAGAACCCAGAGGCAGAGATGAGGCACACCTGGCTGGGAGAGGGAGCTCAGAACGGGCGAGACAGTAAGTCAAGCATGGGGCATTGAACCATGTGACTGTCACACACAGGAGAACTTCTCTTCACCACGTTTACTGCTCTTCTGAGCTTCCAAGCAAACCTTGATTTTTTTCGAGCTGACCTAGCCAATTCTGCATATACGTTAAAGCAAAACCCTCCTCCTCTGACGAGCAAGCAGGGACAAATGCTGGTCGGGATGTCCCGGTGAGGAAAGGAGCCAGCACTGGGACCAGTCAAGCTGCCAGGTAGGTAATCAGATGAAGCACAGCATGCCACATCTTGCACAGACCAACTGTTCCGCTCAGGAAAGCATCAAAGCTCAATTCATCTCACCGGCTTCTCCAGAGAACGGAGGGTTCTCCATCCCGTCTGGGGGGAAGGAAGGGGGCTCTCTACATGCCTTAGTGAAAGGTGCAGTAAAAAAAAAAAAAATACTAGCCGCAAGACAGCCGTGAGACTGGAAACATCGACTTTTCCCATGAGTCAAACACGAGCAGAGCCAGATCAGCTACTGCCACGCAGGTTTCTCCATTCTCCACCCGGCACCTCTGAGTGGGAAACCGCGGGGCAGATCCCTGCGGAACCAAAAACAAACACCTGGAACTGGTCACCTAATTCCTTCAGCTGTGAAAAGCCGCCGACCAATCTTCAACTCCCAGGGTGGGCGGGGTTTAAGCTCCCCAGAGAAGAAGATAAACTAGAAAGATTTTATCAGCTCAAGGCCGAAGGCCACAAAGTCGGAAACCTTACAATAGTCACGGGGCGGTGCAAAAGACCCCAAATGTGGCCGTGCTCGCTAGGTAGATATGGGCCCTCGGCCTGGAGCCCACCAGCCCTTAGGAGCCAAAACTTTCAGCCTCTCAGCACGACCAGAGAGGACCTTCCTGAAGGACCCATGGCCCAGGCGGAGGAGTGCTGTGGCCTTAGGCGGTGGAGACTGCGTTTTAGCGCCTCCGGCCACTGGGGCACACAAAAAACGCACACAATCCCAGCCTACTGAGTAAGACAAGCACTCCCACCAAGAAAGAAAACATCCCCGCACATCTCTGTTACAAATCCGAAAGAGGTCGCGAGGAGGGTCTAGAACGAACGCGAAGGCTGCTTAGGGACTCGCTGGATGCCCACCGCCCGCCCGCAGGCTGCCGCGCCCCGGGACTTGAGTCCTCCGCCCTCCCCGAGACCCGCTGACCCCGATGAGAAAAAGCAATGGGAAAGTCCGAAGATACGACCAGTGTAGGGAACGAAGGCCGGTCCCCAAAGGCCCCTTTATAGTCCGTTTCAGAAATAAACCATCGGGAGTGAGATTTCTTGGGAACCAGAGCCTGCGCCCTTATTACTGTCCCAGGGGAAAACAAATATAGACACAGCGCTTCCTCTGGCAGGTTTGGCGAGACCCGCCCAACACCAGAGTGTGCAAAAGCCTCCTGCGAAAGGCTCGAGGGGCAGCAGGCGCTCCGCCGCGTCCCGCCTAAGGAGCAGTTTCCTCGGTTCCACAGATCTGCAACCCGAGCCCTCCAAACTCCAAACCCCGGACTCCGAGAACTGGGGCTAGCGGCGCACCCACCACGCCAGGGCCGGCCCGCCCACCAGCCCCGGCCAAACCCCAAAGCTCGGCCAGCTGCGCAACGAGCTAAGCCCCGGGAGCCCAGCCGCCTCCATTCGCTCCACCTGCCGGACACCCCAGCCGGCCGACAGTCCCGGCAACCCAACGTGTGCATGTGGGTGTGTGTTTGGGGGGTGGGGGAGTTAGGGAGCAGAGACCCGGTGGGAAAGAGGCGGCTACCCAATCCGCCAGATTTGGGTGACGACCAACCTAGCCAGGAGCGGAACCCCAGCGGCCCCCACCCCTCTGCCCCAGCGCTTGCCCCAAACAGGAATCCCAGCCCAGAGGAACCGTGGGCGAGAGATCCCAACAGCTTTGCCCCCGGCGGCGTGACTAGGTTCCAATCTCACTTGGGGACCTTTCCTGGATTGGGGGACACTGGGGTGAGGTCGGGCGCACCCTCTTTCCTCCCACAGGTGAGACGCACCGCCACGCCCCCTTCTGCGCGTTGTCCCCTACCCGCAACCCCCTTCAGTGCGTTAAACCTAGGAGGACCAAAGTGTCCGAGCCTCGGTCAACCCCTAGCTAGAGCCCCCCACCTCGCGCCCGGCCGGCAGCGCCGCTGTCGCCCCCTCTTCGGCCCAGGTCCCCGGGCGAGGGCAGCCGGCTCTGCTCACCTGACGCCCGCGGGACAAGCCCCAGCCCTCCTCCCCCGCGTAGTGCCGGACCGGAGGGGAGTGATGGGTGCGCGCCGCGGGGACCCCGAGCCCTCACCTTTGTACCGCTCCATGGGGGCCACGGGTGCGCTCTCGAGGCCCGGCTCCGGCGCGGCGCTCTAGGCGCTCGGCTCCCCGCCCGGCCGCCGCGCTGGCCCCTCCCCGTGAGGTCACGGCCGGACCTCCTGGAGCTGCCGTCGCGCCCGGGGCTTTGGGCCGGCTCCCGGCCAGCGCGCGCCGCCCCCGCTCCCGCCCGGGCAGGGGAACTCCGTAGCCCGCAGGGGCCGACCGTGGGGTTCTCGGGTCCGTCGGTCCCCGGGGACTGACTCCCCACTCCTAAGCCCCCCAGCAGTTCCTTCAAGTCCAGGCCTCGGAGGCGACGGAAGGAACGGGATTGGGACCTCCCCAACCCCTGAGGAGGCTCCGGAAGAAGGAGCGAGCTCTGGTGGGCGTCCAAGAGCTGTTGTGCAGACTGCAGCAGCTGCAAACCCATTGGCCGGAGAAGGAGACTGAGAGCTGAGCCGGGAGGTGGACGCGGGCCTAGAGCGCCTCCTGCTGGAGTCGGGGCCACCGCTCGTCCCTTTGGCCTTCCTCCAAGGAGCTCCTTGGGGGAGAGCGAAAGCAGCCGGACCTCTCCCCGTGCCTGTTCTGTGATCTGGATCGCTGCCACCATCTGGGAACCTTTTGAGCTTCGCGTACATGTTTGCGTGCGCAAGAACGTCAACTTGCTGCCTTAACCTGCCCCTGGGTCTCCCAGGGGTTCCAGGTTCTGCTGAGCAAAGCCACACCTTCCGGGGCCAACTCCACAGGTGCACCCACTCCCAAGGCAGCCCAGCACCTGTTGTCTAGGCAGCCTGGCCGGTCTCTGCGCCTGCTCCTCGCACACAGCTCGCGTTTACCTTGAGCTAGTGGCCCTCCGGTCGTTTAGGGCTCCCGATCCTCCCCATGCCATCCCCAAAGAGATCCCAGTTGTTCTTTCAACTTTCAGTGATTTTTCACTTTGTAATCTCACTAGTGGTTTGTGCTGCACAGACTTCCCAGCTGTCTTGAAGCATGCTAAAGAAAGATTTGTTGACTTTTTTTTTTAAAAAAAGATTTATTTTATTTTATTGCAAAGTCAGATATACAGAGAGGAGGAGAGACAGAGAGGAACATCTTCCGTCTGATGATTCACTCCCCAAGTGACCACAACGGCCGGAACTGAGCCAATCTGAAGCCAGGAACCAGGAACCTCTTCCGGGTCTCCCACGCGGGGGCAGGGTCCCAGGGCTTTGGGCCGTCCTCGACTGCTTTCCCAGGCCACAAGCAGGGAGCTGGATGGGAAGCAGGGCCACCAGGATTAGAACCGGGCACCATATGGGATCCCGGGCGTGTTCAAGGTGAAGACTTTAACTGCTAGGCCACCACGCCAGGGCCCCCCCTCTTTTTTTTTTCTTCTAAAAGATTAGCTCTTCTAGGATCAGCAGCTTGTCCACTCAGGCTTCGGGCCCTTCTACCCCAGCAGTGGACAGACATATTTTTCTTAGATATATTAGCAATGAACATCAGGGCAGCCCTCCCCACAAGCCAGGGCTGCTGCTGAGGGCTACATGTGCTGTGCCTTTTAGTTTTCCTAATCACCCTCTGATGGGAATGTTACTATCTCTACTACAACCTTGAAAAAAACTCAAGCTTAAAGAGGTTACACAACTTGCCCATGGCATGCAGTTCAGCAAGAACAGAATGGGTACCATGCCAAGGGCTGGCTGCTTCCAAATGTTTATCCCCAACACTTTCTTGGCACTCGCCTTCAGAGCCAGGCTGCATGTTAGCATCTCCGGTAGCACGTGGGTAAGTGCTACCAAACAACACAGGCAGGCAGGCAATCTGGGAAGACATGGCACCGGGGCCTTGAGGAACCCAGACCCAGGCAAGTCTTCCTGGAGAGGGCGTGACTGTGCTGAGAGCCAACAAGAGGACCACAGAGCTGAAGTGAGTGCAGGGAGGGAAGGAGCCATGTCAAGGTCAGATAGTTCTGTTGCTGTAGCCAGAAGAGAGAAGATGGGGATACAGCAGGTGGGGCTGCTGAGGTGGGCATAGAACTACCTCATGAGGGTGCAGGTGCTGGCAGTACCCGCCCAGCGGGGCAGCAGCACAGTGTGGATGGCTCCAGGCCCTGTCAGAGGCTGCGTGGAGGGTGCCCTTGAATCAGACAGACATGGCAGCCGTCGGGGTGCGGCAGGGAGGAGGCGCCGACCAGGGCATCTCGAAGCAGTGAGCCTTGGGTCTTAACTCTCAAGCCATCACCTGCATCCGTGGCTCTTTCAGGGGGCCCAGCTCAGGAGGCATCAGCAAACAGAAGCAGTGTGTGTGTGGTTGGGGAAAGGGTGTGTCAAGGATGCAGGTTCCCAGGGCTGGAAACAGTGTCCAGTGGGCCCTGGAGCCCAGTCACGAGAAAGGGGGCCCACGCCTGTGGTGCTTTCTTTGTCTCTCCCTTCTTTCTCCCATCCTTTGCGCATTGTGCCAATCGCCCAGTGCGATGCCCGCCCTCCATGCTTATCTCTGCAGAGAATTATCAGTGGGCTCCAGACTTCTAACAGATTCGTGGGACAGGGTGAATCAGATGGTGGCAGCTCATCAATTTGAAACAAGTCCAGACCCAGCCTACAGTTCTGCCGTTCGGCAGGGGCCAACAGTGAGGTCACAAGGTCCAGCCCATCTTTGGATGAAAAACCTAAAAGGGCTGAGGGCTGTGCCTGCCTGGGGTCTAAGCATAGAAGGGAGGTCTGTCTCTCCATTCTTCAAGGAGGAAACAGAAGTGACGGAATTGCTGAGCATGCCGGAGCTAAGCAAAATGTCTTCCAAAAGTAGGGCTCAAAAACCAGGTTTGCTGGCTCCAGATCTCGTGTTTTGCCACACCCTCCAATCAGGCTTTCCCACGGCTCTCCCTCGTTGGGGCTTTCCCCACCAAATCTTCCTGTACCCCATTTCAGTGCTTCCAGCATCTCAGCCTCTCCCTGCAAACCGGGAGCATGCCTGTCTGGCCTGCTCCCTCTCTCATACACTGGAGTAGCCCTAGCCTCTTTAATTACCTCTTCCCCAAATCCTCTCTGGACTAGACAACAACAACAACAACAACAACAAATCCATCGGCAATGGATGCGGAGTGAATTTAAAATGGAAGTTCGCCTCTCTTCCTAAGAATAAAAGGGAAATAACATGACTGGAGGTTATCAATAAAACCAGGTCTCTGTGAGCTCAGCACAGCCTCCCTCGTCTCCACACCTGGGTAGTCACCTCCCACCCCATCTTCAGTGACTTTGCAACATCCGCAAAGGGCTGACTCACATTTCAAGTTCAAACTCACCAAGTTTCAGGCCTCTATGGGGATCTGATGACTTACTTTACAGCTCAAATCTCTGATTCTACAATCGACCCCACTCCAAACCCACAGCATCAGAAAGGAGCTCTGATGGCACAGAAAAATCCAAAAGCCAAATTAAGTAACTCTTGGTTGTAGGTTGTGGACACTTTGACCCAGCACAGTTGGGTTTAGGCATGCTTCAGGGCCACAGATGTGCTGGTTTTATCGGATGAAGATGTCTTCGGGAGAAGTGAATGTCACACACCTGTTTGTTGGCACATGCGTCTTGCCTTATCCACAGGGGGCTACATTTCAAGATCTCCAATGGAGACTGAAATCACCGATAGTACCAAAGTCCGTATGCAGGCACCATGACGCTGTGACAATTTGATAACCAAGCCAACTACTAAGTGAGTAACGGGCGGGTAGCATCTATAGAATGTAAACGCTGGCCAAAGGGAGAAGTACAGGGCAGGGTGGAGCTGGGCAGCACAAAATCTCACCACATGATTCAAAATGGTGTGCTGTTGTCAAGTTATGAATTGTTTATTTCTGGAAACATCCATTTAATTTTTCACACCATGGCTAGCCGTGGCTTAACTGAAACAGACCAGGACCGGTGTTCCTGCATTTCCTAAACTAATTCTCAGCAGCACAAAAGGTTTTGTTCTGACACGTGGGAGCTTCTGCAGCTGAGACCATTTGAAGGGGAGTGTACTAGAAGGCAGCTGCTTTCCAAGCTTCATTCTGTCTCATTCTCACCACGGTGCAGGCAGTAGGTGGAGATCTTTACTCACTTGCCCGCAGTCATGGTGGGCAGGACCCACAGTAGTCCCCTTGCAGCAGCATCCCTGACCAGACTTTGCCCCTGGGCTCTGCACCTGTTCCCTACTTCATTCTGACTCACTCTCTCACAGCCAGCCAAAAGCTTAGCCCCCAACCCAAGTCACTCTCAGCCCTTTCGTTCCACCCTGTTTGTCTCCTGGTTCCTCTGGGAGGTCTGTTGCACTCACCCAATAGCCTCCTCCCACTGCATTTTGTTAATCATTTTGCTGTTATTTAATGTAGCACCTGGCAGGTAGCAGGTGTTCAGTCATACCTGTTTAACGAATACATGCGTGACTGTGCCTCCTTTTCCCTCCACAGAATAGCTTTGCAGGTTCAGGTTGGTGGCACAGATCATCTTGTAGGACGTCAGGTCTAGCTGGGCATGGGAGCAGATGATTGCAGGAGAGACTTCATGGAGGAGGTGGCATTCAAACTCACCCTTGAAGATGGATTCCTCCTCTGTTTTTGAAATACATGTCACACAAAGTCTGTCATTTTAGTGACTTTAGGTGCAGAGTTCAGTGGCAGTGAGTTCATTCACATTTTGCTGTGAAACCATTACCACTTTCTATCTCGGGAAACTTTTTGAGCTGAAACTCTGCCCATCTGTCACTGCACCCTGCTTCCCAGTAACCACAATCCCCCTTTCTGATCTCTGTGAACCTTTCTGTGATAGATAGGACACAAGGGGAGCTGTACACCTGTTCTTCATGTCTGCCAGGCAGTTCTTAATGACTGCCCGACTCACCCATGTTACCTTTGTAGGGATGCGTAATATTCCATTGCATGCATATTCCATGGTTGGTTTACCCTTTCATCTACCAGTGGACATTTCACTGCCTGCACCTTTTGGCCGTGATAAATAATGTTGCTGTGAACACTGATGTACAAGCATCTGTTTGAGTTTGTTTTCAGTACTTGGGGTATATACCTAGAAGTGGAACTCTCAAGTCAAAGACACTTGTGTAAGTCTTCCAGGAACCACCAAACTTGTCCTGCACAATGGTCACAGCATTTGACATCCCTACTGACAATGGACAAGCATTCCAGTTGCTCCACACTCTTTAAAATTTTTAAATTTCCATCCTGGTGGGCTTCATTATGGTATAAAGTTAATGTTTCTTAGATGAATGGCTGCTGCATGCGCATCTTTGATGTCACACAAAGATAGTCACACTAGCTGGACTCCCATCCTCCCTTAGTTCTAATTCAGAGGGATGGAGGCCTGAGATGCAGAACTGGGGACACTCACTAACTATCCCAATGACAGAGTCTCTTTCGTCAGGATTTTTAAAACAATACATAGGTGGTGTAGAGCAAGTCAGTGAGCAAAGGCAGGGAGGAAGAGGAGGGCGTGGAGGGAAGAAGGGAGAATGGAGGCCCAGGCTGCGGGTGCCTTTGCTGGGCTCTGCCCACTGTAATGGGTGACCATGGGGTAAAGAAAGCCACCTGAGCACCATCCCCTTGACTTCGCAGTGACTTTACTTCCAGTCTTCCTAGCCATGGTGGACACAAGGTGGGGCAGGGCTCACAGGTCTTCCACCTGGGGTGAATAGAGTCATTTCAGCTGCACTTCTAGGAAAGTTCCAGAAAACAATAACAAAAAAAACCCCCTCTAGGCTCTTTCAGCCAGTATTTCAAAATGATTTAGCTCATTTCGACATTTATATATTCCTCTATGATAGTCTTTCCTACAACATCAAGAAAAGGCAATGCTCTAGAAAGCTACATCATTGAAGATTAAAGAACTCAAGAAGGCCAGTTTGGGAAGCAGCCAACATGGGACATTTCTGTGTGCACACCATCTGTCCTGCCAAGGGCCATGATGTTGAGAATAGGTGTGCCCAGGTCATATTGTGGGGACTCTTGTGTGGGGCCCAAGTGTCCAGGGCCTTATTGGCCCATGCAGCCTGAGCCAGCCCTTCCTTCCAAGCCCACTTGGAAAGGCTCCTGGTTGCCTCTGTAAATTGCTCCTGGCCTCGAGAGGAGAGGGACTGATTCTCCCTCCTCCCCACTGGCTAGCAGGAGGCTTCTCCCATTCTCCCATGGCTCTCCGCTCCAGTGCCTTGGGGCTGGGAAAGCACACACATCTCCCTTAGCAGCCCATGACGCAGCTGGGGGGTTGGGAACCCAGAGGGTGCGCTTGCTTTGTCTTTTCCTTACCCGTCCCAACACTTGGCCCCTTGCCTTCCAGTTCCTTCTGTGATTACCTTGGCCCTCACCCCCATGGGGGCGAACAGCCCAGACCTGTTTAGAAACTTGGAGTCCAAGCTGCATCCAGCCTGATATTAAAGACACAGGAACCAAGAAGAAGCCAGCCCCTGCCCAAGGGTCCCAGAGGCTGGTGGGCGGCAGCACCACTCCCAGAGCCCAGCCCAGGCGCGGTATCCAGGAAACATTCTTCCTCCACCCTCTCCTCCTTGGGGCCCCAGGTGCCCTTTCTCACCGGGGAGTCATCCTGAGCAAGCGATACAGCTCTACGGAATTTACCAGCGTTCCTCACTGGACACTTGCCAAGGGCTTGATGAGTGGGATTTGCTTTCTTGGTGTCTTGTTTTTTTCCTGATTTCCTGTGGAGCTCATCCGTGCTTAGAGGTGGTTCTGAAGAAATGCAGCCAGACTGGATCAGGCAGCTTCACTGGGCTTTTACAACGCCCACTGGGGCCTGGAAGTCTTCCTTCACTCCTTCATGAGGCACTGGTCCACTTCCTGCCCAGAGAGCTCTCTTCTGCTTGCGAAGTGCCCTTCCTCCCCTGGGCCCAGGGTGTACTGGGCTCCTCCCACGCCCAGCCCAGAGCCTCTCCTTCACCAGGGTATCCCAGGCTTGCTTTTATTTGCTTCTTCCCTCCCTTCCTTTCTTCTTTCATTAATTCTTTCATTTTCTCTCTTTCTCCTTCATTCTCCCTCCCTTCCTATTTTATTTGAAAGGCTGGTTCACTTCCCAAAGGCCCACAGTTGTCATGATTGGGCCAGATGAAAGTTGAGCCAGGTCTCTCATTCATGTGGGTGGCAGACACTCACCTGCTGCCTCCCCCCGACCCCCAGGGCGCATATTAGCTGGCTGGAATGGAGAGTAGAGCCGGCACTCATGCCCAGACATTCCCATGTGGGAGGTAGGTGAGCCAAGTGGTTAAGTGCCCTAGAATACTTGGAAGAATTGAAAAAGAGTTTTGAAACCTTTTCATACTTTTGGTTGATTCCTATCTTATTTAATAACAGAACTTCAAGCCCATCACTTTGGTCTTGTCTCTCCAAATGGATTGTAAGATTATGTGAGCAGAACTCAACATGGGCCCCCTGGGAACCAGGGGAGTTGGCAAGCCTCTGTGACTGGGTTAATCAGTTTGTTGCTGGCCCACAACACCACCACAGCCTATGGCCCACACAGTGAGTCACTGGCTTGTCTGCAGCAGGGGGTTCCCCAGAGCTGGGCTTGTCTCTCGGAGGTGTCTGGGAGGTGCCTACAGGGCCAAACCAGGCCAACATAACCCAGCCTCTTGGGCCTTCTTAACTCCATACCATAAAACTTCTTGCAGCCCACTCTCTGCACCCCACTTTCCTGGTTTAGAGGTCTGCTTTTTGCTTCTTCCAGCTCCTGTATGGACTCTTGGACAAGGTTGGATGGAATGGAATTTAAGTCTCCCTAAAATCATTGACTGGTCAGAGGTGGAAATAGGAGAAGCAACTCTTTTGCAGTTGAACCGATTTTGCAATATCAAGATTTTATCAGAGTCAAAGAAAAAGAAAGTGGGCCATGCTGGGGCTCTGCCAAGCAACCCTGTGTCTGAGGGTAATGGGGCAGGGGTTATCTAAAGGGCCTGGTTCTTCCTCTATGACAGGAAATGTTGCTAAGGCCTCTTGCCCCATTCTTCTGCTTGCAGATAAGTTTTTCTCAAGCACCCAGCTGCAGGCTGCTCATGCCAAGTGAAGGTCTGCACACAGGAAATGCCCATCACTCTCCCACAGAATGAAGGAATGAGTGATGGAGACATGCCCAGGAGGACAAGAAGTGGACCTTGAGGCAGGATGACAAAAGTCTTGCATAGTCTGTGTGTGTCAGTAGAAACATATACAGTATATGAACAGATGAGCACGACATTAACATCTCATGAGTGAACCACTAGCACAAAGGCTGCTGGAAGAAGCAGTACTTTAAATAAATCTAGAAACACTGGAGTTTGGGCTTTAGAGTTGAGGTTGAGATCTCCCTCTATCTGTCCCTAGCTGACACAACAGTGTGTGCTTCTGCTTGCTATTCAGTCATTATATGACACTCATCTCATAGGATAGTGTGAAGGTCACATGAGATAAGGCAGGTGAAGAACATACTCGGGGTCTGAGACACAAGCTCCCAACGGATGCTAGGCACGATCATGATTATGGTTGTTGGAAGAGAGAGGGCCCTGCCACTGATAGGATGACAGGTGAGCCACATGTTGGTGGCCAGTAGCAGGGCAACTCAGGAGGGACCTGCTGCTTTCGGTAGAAGTCCCACTAGGGTGGAGTTCTGCTCCGTGCTAGCACTGCTGGGGTTGGTACTATGATTTTAATCACTCAGCAGCAGTGTTCGCCCTAGCCTCCCTCAGGTACCTTCTATAGCTCTAAGCATGGTCCAGGTGCTTTGTTGGGTAACTGCATGAAGCTCTTAAATGATGTACAGTTTCACGGGGGAATAGGAACCACCATCATCCCTGCTAACAGCACTGCAAAGGGAGTGCTTCCCAAATGCTGATGCACGTAGACATCACCTGCAGGTTGTGAAGATGCGGCTGTGCAGTCAGGAGAGCTGTGCCTGACCCAGAGGTGTGTGACCCAATCAGCTCCTGTTGATGTTGGGGCCACTGGTTCAGGGCCACAATCTAAGGGCAGTGTTCAATAAAGTGCCCCTTCCCATGGTAGGCCAGACCAATGAGATGGTGTTTTTTTTTTCTCTGCTGATGGCTGTATGTTATTCTGACATCTTGTGGGGCCTGTAATTAAATGACTAGAAACTGTCACATTGGTAAATTCTGGAGCAACATCTTCAAGGAGAGCTTCTCCTGCAAACTGGGGTGTGACAACCACTCTCTGAGCATCATGAGTACTGTGTTATCCTGAACTTGCTTTGGCCATCCTTCCTGCTGGATCACACCATGACATCTGTTTTTCTTTCAGGATCTGAATACTTAGAGGGAAGAAAGAGGAAAAAGGAGAAATGGAGAGGAGACCACGGGGACACCTCCTAACTTCCTGTTGGAAACAGCTTCACTGTCTTCTGGCAGGAGCAACCGAGAGAATACAAATGAGAATCCTTCTAGAGGAACCCCCAGCAGCACAGCCACCAGCCTCTTCCGGTGCCTGCATATCCATTCTGTTATTCCTTTAGAGTTTGTTGCATAAGTCAAGTGGTGTTTACGGAAGAACTCAGAGCATAAGAATTTAGAGTTTGGGGTTCAAAGTTAAGAACAATCAAGTCCTAGAAGAAGCAGGATTTTTAAAAAAAGATTTATTTATTCATTTTTTTTAAAAAAAGCCAGACATGAGAAAAAGCTCTTTTATCTGCTGCGTTACTCCCCAAATGGCTACAGCAGCCAGGTGCTGACTAGGTCAAAACCAGAAGCCGAGAACTCCATCCGGGTTATCCAGCTAGAAGCCGGGGTCCAAATATTTGAGCCGTCTTCTCTGGCTTTTCCAGGGATATCAGCAGGAAGCTGGATTAGAAGCAGAGTAGCCAGGTCTCAAATTATTGTTTCAATATAAAATGCTGGAGTTAATGAGCTTAACCTGCTCCACCACAACGCTGGCCTCAGAAACAACATTTTTTAATAATGCATTTGAAGAGCAGCTCTCTTAGAATTTATCCATTCATTGATGGGCATTTGTTTTGCTTCCGCTTTTTCTGTCAATAATGCTGCTATTATTATTATGTATAGGGATTTGTGTGGAATGCATTTCTGTTGTGTTAATTGCATAGTTTCGCCATTAACCAAATGTTGCTCTCCCTCTCTGGCTTAGCTCTGGTTCATATTACTCTGAACTCATGATCTCCCACTCCACCCCAGGTCTTCTTCTCCAGTGCCACACTGCAGGTTCTGTCATCTTGCCTGCTGGACAAGCCAGAAACTTATGAATCATCCTGTGCGCTTCCTTCAAGCTCTTCAATCCTTTCTGCCTCTTTGCAGCCCGTGTCCATCCCATTGGAACCCAATGCAAGTGTTTCCCAGGGAGGCCTCTGGGGACATTTCAGACTCAGTTAGGCCATCCATTGTTTATATACCTGGATGCCTCTGCTTATGTGTGTAGGATTATTTCACGAACATCTGTCTGTTCACTCTTCCAGCTCAAGTGCTTGGCACAGCATCTAGCTGACAGCCAGGTTTCCGAGGCAGCCCAGATTGGGTAGGGTTGTGTTTCCTTCCTAATCATTGTGGAGCACACTATCCTGGCACTGCCAATAAAAGTGTGTTGGCTTCAACTACTTTTTTCTCACGATTTGTTTTATTACAGTATAATTGACCTATGGTAAAGCTCACCCTCTTTAGTGTACAGTTGTGACACATGTACAGTCATGTCATCACCAGCACAATTTAGATGGGAATAGTTCATCACCCTCACTTTTCCTAAGCCCTTGTGAGGTCTACCCTTAGTTCTGTCCTGTAGAAGCCTATGGTGAGTGGGTTTCTTGTCCCTAAATCCCTGTCTTTTCCAGAATGTCACATAAGTAAATCATATAGTTCAGAGCTTTTGCTTCTGACTTTTCTCTCATTTGAGATTCATCTATATTATTGTAATAATCCATCCCTTCTTACTGCTGAGTTCAGAGCCTCTTGTTTGGATAAACCATAGTTGATCTGGGTGTTTCCAGGCCGGGGTGATGATGAAGAACTCACCATAAATATTCATGGACAGATTTTTGTGTTCTGGGTTTGCTTGCATAAATGCCCAGGAGTGGGCTTGTTGAGTCTCTGGAGAAGTGCCTTCCAACATGGTTGTATCTGTTTACGTCCCCAAAATAATGTGCAAGTTCCTGTTGCTCTGCTGGAGTTAACATGCTTAACATGGAGTTAATATGGCTCTAAGTTGGCTGATGTTTTCGTAAACTCTGAATCCAGTTCCTGATCTCACCTGTGTGCTTGTATCTTCCAGTCTGGTTCTAGCTTTATTCTCTTTATAGAGGTTTCTTCTGACAACCAAAGCTCTTTCTTTTGGTGAAGAGCATTTTCCTTGTTTTCTTTCATGGATCATGCTCTGGGTATCATTGTCTTCCATCCACTTGATCACTCCCCAAATAGCCGCAACGGCCAGAGCTGAGCTGATCTGAACTCAGGAGCCAGGAGCTTTTTCTGGATTTCCCGCATGGGTGCAGGGTCCCAGCTACTTTCCCAGGCCACAAGCAGGGAGCTGGGTGGAAAGTGGATAAGCCTGGACATGAAGTGGTACCCAGATGGGATGCTGGTGAGGATTAGCCAGATAAGTCATCACATTGGCCCCTCTTGGTATCATTTCCAAGAGCTTTCTGCCTACCTATAATCATGGAAGACTTCCCTTATATTTGCCCCTAGGAATTTACAAAATTAGGTTCTATTTAGGACCCTTATTTTTTTTAAAATTCTGTCAACATTTTCATCTGTTTTAGATCTCCAAGTTACTTTGCCATTTACTTGTCTTTGCTCCCCTCCAGACTTGAAGCTCTCTAGGAGCAG